ATACCCTTGTAAAAGTATTCTAAAGTGTATAAAAAAAATTGAAATCAATTGTGAAAATCTATTCCTTATATAGGACGTTCTCTCCTGTTTTGTTAATCGTGATGTAATATTTAGCGCGTCACATGACTTCCGTAGTAAGTTCGTTCTAATTGGTCAATATTAACGGTCAATTGGTTGATCCACAGTTTACAATATCAAGTACAAAATCAGTATCCTTTAATTACTAAAACTTTGTTATTTCTAGAAAACCATCTACAAACATTTTTTACAATTATGTATATTGTGATTACACTTATTATACTAATTTGAATAATTTTAGTGTACTCATGTTATCACAATCATTGTTTACAAAGGTGTCAATCTAAATGTTGATAACTTGGACTATCTTCAAGTCAAAATAAAAAAAATGTCAACACACTGAAAGTATGATGAAAATATTAAATGAAAATCAATTTATCGAAAATAATGAAAATACAGTTGATGATGATTCGGTTAATGTTGAATCAGCAACAGATGATGCAGTAACAATGGAAATTTTATTAGAACATGCAAAAAAAATTTTTTGGGTTGTAAATTTTATTTTTATTAAATAAATTTGCTTGATTTTTCATACATTGCTCATTTTTCATCTCAATCATGTATCTTAAATTAGTTGTGTTTATAATCATTTCATTGACATTCATTATATTAAGATTATTTTGATTATATCGAGAGATATGGTCAAGAGAAGAGTTAGGAAGAGAGTTATTCTTCGACCAAGTCAAAAACAACCCTTTAATACATTTTTGAGTAATACAATTTAATTTATTAGACTATTTCAATGGTTGCTTCCAACTTCTTAAATTCGTTAACGAAACAGTTGTTGGTGAAGCGATTGTTGACAAACCATATCAGATATTTATTTCTACGTTATCAAATTCACAATTTTAATTGGTCAATCAACAAATTGCATGGGTTAAAATTTTGTGTTTCCCTCCTGTTAATTTTTGTGTTCCCAGAACTGTTTTTATGCAACTAAAAAGATTTTACTGGTGTTTTTCACCATATTAATCAAAAGACGTAACCGAATGAAAAATAAATAAATAAATAAATAAATATCTCAACTGTCATACATAGTATGTAGTGCACGAAATGGTGCAATAGATAAAAAGAGATAAAAATTATTATCCTAGTATTGCATCATGGGCTGTAAAGACCCTGAGATTGTTACTGATTCTCTAACGTGGAATTATATCAATATTTTTTGGCAGAAG